TAGTTGTGTACGAGATATGTTGGCTAAGATCTAAAGAGCTATTAACCTCCGGCCTAATCAACTTTGTAAGTGCATTTTTAAATCACATTAATATGTCATGAAATATTCACATTACACACCTGGAGCAAATTTTATTAGCAAACTTTACATGTTTATTATTTTACGATTCATTTAATATTTATAATATAAATAATCTAACCTTGACTGATTTTGTGTTTTTTCAGTTTCACGGCTTAGAGCTCTTGTTCCTGTATCTATAGACTAAATAAATAAGATTAAGCAAGACTCTAGTGTATAAACGAGGTGCGCTGGTGAAAGATGTATGCCCATCTTAATGTTAATAGTTTGAATACCTGTGGATCTAAGGTATTGGTATTCTTGGTTCTATCCTAGACCTTGAAAATGGCACATGCCCCTGGTTTTCAGCCTGATGTTTACAAATAAGATTTTCAGGTGGTCTTTCTTTACAGTCTCATACATAGGTGATTAGAACCCTGTACCTTTCCTCTACTTTGCGCTACAAAACAAAATATAGATTTTATGTTGAAGTTTCCTTTGAATATAGGTTTAGGATCATCCTCTCTAGAGTTGATCTCCGTGAACTGAACTCCTAGTCCTAGTCCGTCTGTATCCGGGAGCTGAGGATAGAGGTTACGAAGTAGAATCTGAAGAAGGGCATGAGCAAGGCAACAAGTGAGGGAGAATAATCCAAAACATCGGAACATAAAAGCTCCCCCGCCCTAGAATAGGCACAATGTTAAGAAATCCGTCAATTTCTGGGTAAAATATGATTTTTATTTTGTCCATTTTTTCTTCCCGATGTCAAACCTATCTCTGGTCCTAATATTTCTTTATGATTTAAAATGTGGTCAATAGAGTGAAGAAATCAATTGGACGAATGATTCCTGCCTTCAATAGCTGTCATCATGTGATATTTACCACAATTTGAATACATTTTTACCTCCATTTTGTAAACGGCACCTCCAGCTAAAGAACCAATTGCAACACCTGCTCCTTCAAATGCCCCTCCTACGATGCCCTGCATGGTTGAACCCATACCTAAAACATTTTTTAATTGATTAACAAATATTATAAAAACATAAGAATACAGATATTGTTAATATAAACTGCAGGGGAACATTATCTAATTTGATGAACAATTTTTGCAGAATTCTGTTGGGAAAAACTGGAGAGTTGTTTTTTTGTTAGCATCAAAAGTGTCAGAGACAGATGGGTTTTAACATACCTGGGGGCGCAATTATGTGAGCGTATGATGTCATAGTCGCATAAAAAATTCCAAACGTTATTCCATTGAGAACTTCTATCAGTAGAGAATGCCAGGGATTGGTCAGGAAGGAATAAAACAGTAACCTGACAATATCATTCTATTAGGTATAAGGTTTTTTCGACCTAGAATTGTATTAGATCTTTAAAAAGGTTAGAATAGAATCTGGGTAGATGGATTGGGGTTAGACGTAATTATAAGAGTCGATTTGAGTTCATAAACATTAAGCACGCATTTAGACTGGAGAGTTAAATTTCTCGATGCTTTTTTTAAACCACACGATAATTAGGTTGGATACACTTTAGATCGGTTTCTTCTAGATCAGTTTTCATAGCATCTTTACTTATTATATATTTGGTATGACATTCTGACTTCTACCCACACTCCAAACCTTTAAACTAGAATGTAATTTTTTATTTTGATTGCCAAAACTTTTAGCAAACGCCATTTAAATATAACAGCATACAAATCTTTAAGACAGAAATGTAAATTTTTTAATATATTTTTTAATTATTTACTTGCCTCAGGCCAAAAGCTCCTAGAACCAGTGTCATTGTATGAATATGTCCCAAAGTTTTCAAAATCCATCCTTCAAAATAAAAGTTTTATCTTGTTAAAAAATGAGTATAAGAGACTTAACACTTTCTTGCTAAGTTGGAAAAACAAAGACCGCCTACTAGTTCAAGCATGCCTACTGGTACTTGCCTCAGCCTGATTAACAGTTTAGTACCTGATAGAAAGAACATTGGGACTTCTCCAACAAAGCATTGAATTCCCATGTTGAGACTAAGAAGAAGAGTTAACCATGTGGCCCCATGATCTGTACTTAAACAGCTCTAAAATCATTCTTTGATTAAGGACGTATGACACTCAGGACTTTAAGGAAATCATGTGTCGTACTTATTTGCTTAAATGAGATGACAATTAAATACCTCTTCCTCTGATCTAGTGTCTGCTAGATCAGCAAGATACCAAGGTAACCACTGCCATACCAGGGAGGTAAATATTCCAACTACAGTACACCAGATCACAAACAATACAACACGGGGACTGGCCAACAACCGCATCATATCTGATCCGCCACTGAAGGATAAATAGCATTTTGTTAATTATGATCATCAAGATAAGGGATGAAGGTTTGAAAAGGAGGGACCAAAAATTAAAAGTTTGGACTATTCTACCTCTTTATCAAAAGTATTATGGCGTTTTTACCTTATTAAATACATTCCCCCAAAACCCATTTAAATATAGACACTAAAATATTTAATTCATTGGACCCCATATAGCAAAGAGACATAAGATATGACAGCAGAGATGAGGGAGGGAAATTTCAATAAAACCCAGAAGTTTTTAATATTTATGATAAATGATGAAATTAAGCTTTTTTTAACAGTATCTCAAGCAGATGATACTTTAACTGTTCTTTGTAATGATCCAACCTGAAAGATTTGACAGATGATACCTTATCTGTTCTTTGTAATGATCCAACCTGATAGATTTGACAGATGATACCTTATCTGTTCTTTGTAATGATCCAACCTGATAGATTTGACAGATGATACCTTATCTATTCTTTGTAATGATCCAACCTGATAGATTTGACAGATGATACCTTATCTGTTCTTTGTAATGATCCAACCTGATAGATTTGACTGGCGGCTTTATTTGCATTTTCCAGGAACAAATGAGATCAAGAACTAGGAGACCTGACATCAGATATAGAGCCGGAGAGTAATCCTAGTATTTAAGAAAATAAATTGTATCCTTCCTTCCTTGATTTATCTTGCTGAATTTAATCCTTCTGATTTAAGTATAAAATGTATCCTTCCTTCCTTGACTGATCTTGCTGAATTTAATCCTTCTGATTTAAGTATAAAATGTATCCTTCCTTCCTTGACTGATCTTGCTGAATTTAATCCTTCTGATTTAAGTATAAAATGTATCCTTCCTTCCTTGACTGATCTTGCTGAATTTAATCCTTCTGATTTGAGTATAAAATGTATCACCTTAACTCCATTTAGATGTTGAGAGTATGAATCTATCAGATAACCTCCAAGAATAGTAAATAGACCCCACCCTATAGATCCAAACACACGCTGTACTCCATACTCTTCATGCTTACCCTCTTTAAAAATTTTCTTTATTAAGTTTTGACATTTTTAAAGTTAAAGAACTTTTTTTGAAAAGGGAATTTCAGTAAAATTTGCAGGGATGCGCTTATTTTAATTATTTACCTAACAGATTAAAACACAGTGCATCTCCCATGCTGGTTGTGACACTAAAACAACAAAATTCAGAAGGTGATTAAAAGAATTATTTGTGATGTTCAAGACATTTGTTGACCATAACTTCCTTTATTGTTGAAAGATCTGCTCTGAATAATTTACATCATCAGACAACTTAAAAAGACATTTGAAGCAGAGATTTGTTGTAAGGATTTAAGAAAAATGCACTTTGGACTTTTCAGATGTTCCACAAAATCTAAGACATTTTACAGAAAAAAAAATATTTTTTTTCTATACATTTGCTTTTCTTCCACTGAAAAAAAATGCAAAAACGATAATGCTTGCTTAGTTTTTCCTTTATTTTTCTTTTAGTATAAAAATATTGCAAAGTTTAATAAAATTAAAGTTACAGAATAATAATTTAAAATGTTGATTCACAGGGTGCATTTAAAAAGTCCAAGAACATCAAAAACAAACCAAAATGAACCAAGCTATTGCATATCACTATTTAATGTTAATAAAAATAATAATAATAATATGAATGCTTAATCAGTTTAGAACTGACCTAAAAGCTGAGTAGGCTATGATGTTAAAGATGGTGAAGAACCAGAAGGTATGAGAACTAAAAACTGAATCCTGTCTCACATATCTCTTCAGATGTTCACTGAATAATTAAGCAATTATAATTATAGAAACTAACTTTTATGTGCTCATTTTATTATTTATTACCAGAGCTGGGAACTTTAGAATGGGATACCTTTAATTAATCACAACTTTTCTTACTTAATCCACTCTTTTCTGGATAAAGTACAGAAAAATCTAAAACCGGGTTTTCAAAATTAGAGAGTCCCTCCCGTTTCTGTATGTCACTCTTAAATGGTGTGTAAAATTTCAAATCTCCCGGCTTCTGCTACGCGACACTGATTAGTTAAATTCTATACACTTTTCAGGATCCCATATAGAATCGTGATTAGTTTTAGTTTTAAGATATCATTATAGAAAGCTGACCTGTAACATGTTGTTAAACAGGTTATCTCTGTTTTGTCTGAGCATATCATGGAATCAAGATGGAGGTCACCAATAACTATACAGTATACATAAAAATTGTTGTTTTTTTATAGCAATTATTCCAATCTTCATTTAGTTCAAAACAAGGAAAATACTCAAAGATATGACAAGTTCCCCACAAAGACATGAGCATTAATTAAAATAATTAAGTAGTAAGTGATACAAATAATTCGATAAAAATGAACACTTTGATATCATAATCATTGTTATAACTATTGAAGCTTTATTTTAAATATACATAAATGGTTTACTCACTAATTCAGAAGGAATAACAATGAACATCAAATGTTAAATATAAAACAATGGAGGTTTAGAGAAGGGGAAATTTATGAGTTTGAAACATCCGTCTTGTAAAAATGTTGAGCAAGATTAATGATAACTACCTATTGAATCTATTGGAAGAAGTAAGCACTTAGGATCTGGCTGTGTATCATGATGTGTTACATTAGAGAAGATTGTGAGCACTGGATCGGTCAGATCAAGGGGAGTAGTGTCATTATAGCAGCCTATCATACTTTGCATCTAATTCATTTGTCAAATTCATATCAATTTTTCACTCTACAATCACATGGAAGTATGTAAGGTCTAATACATGAGGTTGAAAGTAAGGGCTAAATTGAAATAAATTCTTCAATAATGTGTTAGATTTGAATATCATCTCATTCTCAAGAAAATATCTCTTTAGCTTAAATAAGAAGCAGGCTATTTGAAAGAGATGTGTAAGTTCCTTTAAAACTATACTGAGCTGCTTCACAGATTGTTTTCATCACAGATTCGTCAGTTATACTACACTTAAGCTCACAGTGCTCAGGACAACTAAATATAGTTTTCTATTATAGACAGCTTCATATCATAGCTTAGGTTTAAGTTAAATACATGTAATTTTCAATAATTCAGTCATAAGTTCCAACATTTGGGATGACTTACAGGCCTCAATCCAACTAAAGGATATGCATAATCGATCTTACAGACAATCCCTGACATGTTTTAAATGTCTTATTGATGCTCATGTGCAAAATTGACTGTGGACTGGAACACCCCAACTCCACAGCAATGACCATTTATTAATTAATTAATGTGAAATATTACAAAGAACAATAATTACCCTACTGAAGATACCTGTTACTGAGCTGATGATTGACTAGATTCATAGTTGCTTCCTCTCCCCGGCATACTTTTAGGATAGAGAAGGGACTTGAGCACTAGAAACAATATTAATATGTTTAAGCACTGAACGATATAATAATTCCTTAATGGGATAAGTAAGTCAAAATTCACACTTAGTTAATAATCTTGTTTGAGCAAAGGCATTAAGTGTCCTTGGAAGGTGAACGTGGTATCACCTTGTATATTATGATCACCCAGGAAGAGTAAAGAGGAATAGAATACTCTCGAAACAACTCATGTTGTGTCCTGAAGGGTATTAGTGGTACCAGCTTACATGTATCTCCAAGGAGTTGTAGAGCTGAATATAATACTACAGGTACAACCCATATTAGCATGGAGGGTACTTGTGGTATATCTTTTAGAAGGAATAGAGCGGAATAGAAAACTCCAAATACAACAGATATTAATTTACCTGAAGAGTACTGGTGGTGTCAGCTTGAATATCTCCTAAGAGTAGTAGGGCAGAATAGAATACCCCAGAAAGAAGAATGGAAACCATAAAAACAATCTTCTCTAGACCAAACCTGTCAGCTGACACAACACACAAATATTTATCAGATTTTTAAAAAAATAATCTAGAGTGAGTTCCATTTCTTCAAATTGAGGTTAAATTGTGAGTATCGATTTTGGCCTTCACAAAATATGATAATCTTATGAGGAAAAAACTGTAATAATGGAAATTCTTAAACAAGATGAAATAATATTGATGTATTCTTTAAAGAAGGCCGCCGCAGGCCTGATTGTGGTTTCCCTTCAACTCAAGCTATACGAGATATGGTGACTGCTGAGGTAGTTCAAAACCAGTTTTAGCTGGAGGTGGGGGGCAAATCGACCCCCATCACCTCTTAATTGGGTCTATTTTGTCCAAATATTACAACTGAATGTAGAATTTTGGAAAAGCTCTTTTTGTTCAGTATCCAGGTATCAAGTGAAAAAGCAGTTGATTGAAATTGTGAAAAACATGATAACCTTTCCATTTTGACCATATTAGTACACATATGCAGAGATTCGTAAAATCTTACAAAATTTGGTTTGCAATAAAGGAAAACTAAAAAATTGTTTGAATAAAGTAGGCATTCGGGCCGTATGCTCTGAGACTTAGTCAGTTTGATGAAAATGCCTATTATAAGGATTTAAGCATTGTCTATAATTTTTTTAGGAAAGGTCAGAAAATTTGAACGTCCTCTGAATCATTCTTAATAAGATATGTTAATTAAACACAAATTCCACTCTTATGTAAGGACTAAGCTAGGTCAAGATTTGAATGGAAATTTCTGAATTAAGGTATTTCGATACTTCTAAAAATGAAAAGGTAAGTTTGCATGTTTTAATATAAAAAAGGAAAGTGAGCAAGAAGTTATGAAGTATAAAAAGGTAAGTTTGCATGTATTAATATAAAAGAAAAAGGTGAGTGTGCATGTTGTTTGTACAAAATAATTAAGTTATACCAATTTTGATCGATGTTGAAAAGATTAATATAAGGAGCATGTAAGAATGAATATTCTTCATCTGTGAAATAATTTCCATTCTTTAATGCTTGGAGCGTGTAAGAATATACATTATTTATAAAATTTTAGCATTTGAGTTACAATAGTCAAAGCAAGCAAAAAATTTAATTAATTTGCAAGAGCTTTAACACAAAATAACCTAGCAAAAACTTTAAAATATACAGTTGTTTATATTTGTATTCCTATCCAGCCCGCTATAGGTTTAGCAAGCATTCCACTGAAGGGCAGAATAGCAAACACAATACCAACAGATACCTAAAAAGTATACATTACAATTTGCAGATAAGAAGGTTTATATCTTACAGATAAATCCTCAGTTTACATTTTCTGATATGAATTTGATATAAATTAGTAACATACACAGCATTCTTTAGCTTGAACTATTAATAAAACTTTTGTCCAATAACATTTCATATTCTAGGCTATTTAACAATATTCACCTCATCGAATCCTATCTGCTTAGCGAAGACAGGAAGAAAGGGAAGGATGGGAGAGAGACCGGCAAAATTGAGAAAGAAATGAGTTTTGATGGGAACAAGGCGGGGGTTCACTTTAAACTTCATAGTCTTGTTTTTTTTTGGTGTTAAGTCTAGGTTACATTGTGGGGTATCTGAAATTTTACATTTTTCATAAATCTTTAATTTTTAACATTTACATCCACTGAGTAATATCTGAGATTTTGAAATTTTAAACATTTAATTTTTTAGCCGGCAGAGTAATATTTGAGATATCAATTTGAAAATACTGTCTGATGGTATTTTATCACAATGCTAAATTTTTCCAAATTTTTGGAGAATATTTTCCAATTCGATGTTTTGGGAAATTTCGACCTTGTCAAGGTTTTAGAAATGGCGTTGTAGATATAACAAGTCGGATCAAAATTTATATGGTGGTTTAACATGAGGTCTATTAATATTCTGTTCAATAGTATTCAATAGACCACTGCTCCAGCAGGGATTAGTAAAGGTCTATCAATATTCTGTTCAAAAGTATTCAATAGACCACTGCTCCAGCAGGGATTAGTAGAGGTCTATTAATATTCTGTTCAACAGTATTCAATAGACCACTGCTCCAGCAGGGATTAGTAGAGGTCTATTAATATTCTGTTCAACAGTATTCATTAGACCGCTGCTCAAGCAAGGATAAGTAAACGATTATAGTGCAGGATCCTACTCTGTATTCTGTTCCACTGCTCCAGAAGGATTCAGGAACGGATTATAGTGTAGAATCCCCCTCTGTATGCTGTTCCACTGCTCCAGGAAGAACAGAAATTGGTAGAACATCTTGCATAGCAAATTTCCAAGTCCAACTCCTAAAAAAATACATATACCTTACTATACATCAAGCAACTGGTTTAGTTATATTGAGTGTATTCTTGTGGATTTTCTGATGATCAATATTTCCCAGATTTTCTACCCTACCTGGCAACGGATTCGAAGGTCTTCTTGTCTTGCCTATATAAATCACCAATATCCTGTTCCATACACACCTCACAGAATGGGTCCGTTAGCAGAGACTGGATTGAAAGAAGAACCTACACAAATAATAATTTTAAAATCAATGTAATTTTTAAATGCCTTGATTCACTAAAGTTCCCTTGACGGCTTGAAACATGTAAAAAACCTTCCAATTGGAATTTCGGCATTTTCTCTTATCTTAAGTTATTTTCCGGAATTGGAAAAAATAAATAATTCTTAGCGGAATTAATTTTTGGATAAAAAGTATCAAGAGGTTAAAACTTGCAATTTGATGTCCAAAATTTAATTTTTTCCCGAAAAAGCAACAAAAGATATTTACCCCCAAAAAATGTGTTTCATATTGCTCTTTTTAAAATGATAAAAAAGTCCAAGAAACCGTTCATGTTAAAATGTACGTATATTCATTTGTCCAAATTGCAATTTATGTTATTAAATCTTCACTTTCAAAATCAGATTTTATCATGATTTTCTTTGATGGGGGTAAAGCATATTTTATTCATGGGGGGGNGGGGGGCTCACTACATATATTAAAAGAAAAATCGACATTTTCTAGAAGTAATCGTAGAAATTCACCTTGGACAATGTTAAAGCTGAAACCCAGATAGATTTCTCAATAGAATCTATCCCGATATCTCCGTGCCTGCTCACGTTGGGGTGGAAGATTTTGGTGAGGAACCTAACCTCAGGGGGATCGAAAGGGTACAGAAAGGGAACTTTCATGTATAAGTAGAATAAACCACCCTCATAAGGACTTCCTACAGGGCCTCTAATGCTGGCCTAGAAAAGAACCTTGAGAGATGTTATGAGTTAATGCCAGATTGGGACTCGAAGATTGATCAAATCAAATAATGTAAATAAAAATTGACTAATTATTTGATAATATTAGTTGATTGATTGATTATTCCATATTTTGGTTGATTAAATCTATGGTTGATTGTGATATTACTTAATTAGTTAGATGATTAATGAATTATTTACTTATTTGATAGATAAATTAATAATTTTGTGTTTAATTGATTCCGTGAATAATTGATTCATTCAACTTGTATGCTTTTGTTTATTGATTTGAAATTATAAAATGAATTTTTTTATGAATGGTTTGATGATTTTACATTGGTTGATTTCCTGTCAAAATTTGTTGAGTGATTTAAAACTTCAATCATTTATAATTAATCAACTTGATTGATTGATTGATTGATTACCTGCCAATGGTAAAGTGATGAGTCTAAAGGTTGAGCCATAACTCCTTCTAGAGCATCTTTACTCAATCCGGACAGATCATGCATCAACCTCTTAGATCTTATAGCACTCCTATAACCCTCATAGTTAACTGACTCAGACATCTATAAAGAAACAAGTCTTATTTTATAAAATGTTGCGTCTTCCTCATCTTTCAATAAATCAAGCAAAAATTTCAGAAAATTTCGGATTTTCAATGAGCTCTTATATCTCCTCCTCTTACATCCCACATACTTAACTGACTCAGACATCATAAAAGTCTTATTTTCTAAATCGTTTCGTATTCCTTATCTTTCAATGGTTTAAAGCAAGCTAAAAAGTGCGCACAAACACAAACAAGAATAAACGAAAGTTTTGAAAATTTCCTGACGGTTGTGGGTTATGGGTTATGACGGTTATACCCCAAGCAAAAGTTTTCTTGGATGGATTGCAAACGAATGTTGTCTGATATCGTCAAATGATGGGGTGCGGGGGGGGCCAAATAACTGGATTAAATGATACTAAGAATCAAAAATATTAAAATTCCATCAAAGTCGTATATTTTCCTTCTTAAACCTGAACAACACCAATAACAAAAGTGCTTCCGTAAATAAACAAATAAATGCTTAAATAATTTTATAGTTTTTTTACCTGATAAATACATGTTAAACAAAAACTGCTTTTTACAAGAGTAGAGAACACACTGAACCAATCCTTTACACGGACCATAGGGGTAAACAACGGCCATCTCCTTTAAAAAATTTCATAAGAGAGTATACAATAAAACTAGTCTATTATATGGACCATAAATGTTGACAACGGCCATCTTCTTAAAAAAAATTTCTTTTTTAAATTAAAATGAAAAAATGTTTTTTTACACAATTTATCTTCATCATTTCAAATTTTCCGTTCCTATTTGAGTGTATAGACAAAATTTCTTCAACGCTAACGTTCGTTAGGAAACAGGAAATTCTGGTAACAATCTTCGTTCTTCAATTCGTTAAAAAAATTACGGAAAAAAATAAACCCTGAGTGAGAGTATATATTTTGGAGAATTGGTAAGAAAGTAAGTGATTAAGTAAATTAAACCCTTTCAGTTTTATTATAAAACAAAGGGATTAATGCAGGGAGTAAAGAATAGAAAGGAGATTACCATATGATTATATATGCTTTGCAGACGGTACTTCATTTGAATAAGAAATATTTGTCTGATGTACAATTACCGCGAATACAATAACCTATTCTGAATATTTCTTATACAAATGGAGTACCGTCTGAAAAGCATGTATATTGTATAATCATATGGTAGGGCGAACCTTTTATCTCCCTCCTATTCCTTACTCCTTGGATAAATGCAATAGCATGCCGATTGCCCAGCCCTACATTTTTACAGATCTCAGCCATCTCTCTGAATGATAGTTAAATGTTAACTATACCTTAGTACAGATCTCAGCCATCTCTCTAAATGACAGTTAAATGTTAACTATACCTTTATACAAATCTCAGCCATCTCTCTGAATGATAGTTAAATGTTAACTATACCTTAGTACAGATCTCAGCCATCTCTCTGAATGGTAGTTAAATGTTAACTATACCTTTGTACAGATCTCAGCCATCTCTCTGAATGATAACTAAATGTTAACTATACCTTTGTACAAATCTCAGCCATCTATCTGAATGAAGATAAATGTTATCTATACCTTTGTACAGATCTCAGCCATCTCTCTGAATGATAGTTTGAAGTTAGAACTTGTCTCCATCTGCGACAAACATTACCAGCGGATAGAAGGGATATATCGTCAAGGAAGGAGAAAATTTCTAATAAAACCTGCAAGAGAAGAATTTATATGTAGAAATACAACAATAACCAATAAGTTATCATTCTGTAGAAAGACTTGGGTGTTTCATTTTAAGAATTAATCCCCCCCCCCCAGGAAATGATTTTTGATGTGTAGGGTGTGGGTGAAGGGGGGGGGGGGGTAATGGAAATATAAAGTTTTTTCCTCCTTATTTACACTTTTCCACCGAATTTCATTACTTTTCCCTGTTTTAGCAAAGAAAACTCTAAAAGCTAAATTTACCACTCCGCGCCTAAAACAATCATTTTCAAAGAGTGTGTATGTGTGTGTGGGGGGGGGGGGGGGGTGTAATGTTTGTTTAGATACAACCCATAAGAATTACCTATAAATCTCCTCCTACTTTCTTTAAAATCATCACCATCCCTCCCCCCCCTTAAAAACATTATATTTTCCTTTTGTAAGGAATTGATATTTTTGCATGTATTTTTTGCGTGACAAGTACTTGTGACTCAAACCAGCCCAATTCTTTAAAAATATCCCTGAACCTATTACCTCTGGTGGAACCCTGTCAACTAGTCCTGGAGGAGCTATATCAGCAGGTCCAGTGGATACCAACATCTGTAATCTCTCCCCTAGAGTCTCTACACGGAAACTTCGGTTCCAGGATGCATGGTCTTCAGGGGACTCCTGCAGGGATGGATCTCTTTCATCTTGATCCATTTCAACCTAGACAGAATATAGTTCAACCTAGACAGAATACATTTTAACCTAGACAAAATTTATTTCAACCTAGACAGAATTTATTTCAACAAAGACAGAGTAAATTTCAATACAGACAGAAAATATTTCGACCTAGACAGAATATATTTCAACCTAGACAGAAAACATTTCAACGTAGACAGAATACATTTCAACCTAGACAGAATACATATCAACCTAGACAGAATATATTTCAACCTAGACAGAATATATTTCAACCTAGACAGAATAGATTTCAACCTAGACAGAATGCATTTTAACCTAGACATAATTTATTTCAACCTAGACAGAATTTATTTTAACAAAGACAGAATATATTTCAACCTAGACAGAATATATTTTAAGCTAGACAGAGTATGTTTCAACCTAATCAGAATACATTTCAACATAGAAAGAATATATTTCAACCTAGACAGAATACATTTCATGTTAAATAAAATACCTGAGGTGTATTTGGAAGACTCGGGCCTCGATCAAGAGGAAAGTAGTCACTCGGTTCATCATTCCCACTGTCACAGTCATCACTAAGATCATTTGGATCCTCGGTTAGAGCCTGCGGGTTCGTTTCCTTAAATATTATCTGTTAGAGCCTGCGGGTTCGTTTCCTTAAATATTCTCGGTTAGAGCCTGCGGGTTCGTTTCCTTAAATATTCTCGGTTAGAGCCTGCGGGTTCGTTTCCTTAAATATTATCTGTTAGAACCTGCGGGTTCGTTTCCTTAAATATTCTCGGTTAGAGCCTGCGGGTTCGTTTCCTTAAATATTCTCGGTTAGAGCCTGCGGGTTTGTTTCCTTAAATATTATCTGTTAAAGCCTGTGGATTTGTTTCCTAAAATTCCTTTTCAACCCTACCAGAATATGCAAGGTCCATTATATTCCTTGATTGCTGGGATGAGATTTGATTGATTGATTGATAAAATCTATTCAACCCTTGAAGCATATGGGAAAGCGTGGCATATTGCCCACACTAGCTCTCAAAATCAAAGTCCGTGGTATTGATTAATTGTATTATCAGGTTAGGTTGATTGATTGATTGGTACAGACAGGGTTGAATTTTGCGCACACTGTTCAACCACCTATTTTGAATCACAGATTCAGCGTCCTTACTCAAATTCTATCAATTCGGTCCTAGGCCGGTTGCATCAATATTAATAACATATTTTAATCTAAAATGAGCAGGGCCAGTAGAATTCATTGATTAAAATGATGAGATTTAATTGATTGATTGATAAGTACCTGTTCCACCCTTGAAGCATATAGGAAAGCGTGGCATGTTGCGCAAACTGGTTCCCCGAAGCAGGGTCCGTAGAATCCATTACAGGCCAGGCAGGTGTCCATTCTTAACTCATTCTCCCACCATACAGGATCCCTTGAACCGAAAAAAAACATTATATTTCAAAATAAAATTATAGAAAATTAAAAATTGGTACCAAAAAGCAGTTTTTTTTTATCAATGTCCTTAATCACGATGTTAGTTCAGAGTTTATAAGTGAATAAAATGTCCAGAAATCTTTATTTGGTAAAAAATTGTTGCCAAACCTGGAATAAATGAACATATATTGAGAAATTTTCCTCTTCCCCTTCATCCTTAAGCCTGATATCTGTCTGTCTGTCAGTCTTTCAGTGTGTCTGTCTGATGTTTGTATGTAACCGATAAATGTCAAAACGGCTGACCCGATTGGACCAAAATTTTGTATGGGACCTCACATGACCCCAGGGAAGGTTTATGGAACATCTAAATTCGAAAAAATTCCTGCAAGTTTGAAAATGATTTAAAATGACAAGACTTTCAGAACAGCATTTAAAAGCTTATTAACGGGAATGGGGGCGCGAAGGGGGCCTAGTGTTTAATATGGTTTGCTAGATTTTCTTTTTTTATTTTTTTTTTGGGGGGGGGGGGGAGTTACCTCTGAATTTAAGCTTTTGGGAGAGGATTTAGTCCCTTAAATTTTTCTTCAAAGCTTGGAAATCCTCACACAATAAATAAATAAATATAAATGTTTACAAAAATGTTAACTAACCCAGATCTTAAGCACCCGGCACTATTCATTGCATTTTATTGATCTGAAAAAATAGTTCATTAATCATAACAAATCAGTTTTAACATTGACATTTCAGAAAGGCTGGTATCACAATAAACATAGAATAATCATATAGTAGTGTTATATAAGTATTATATGGGAATATTTTTGTCAATTTTATACGTTTTAGAAAAGTACATAAAAAAATTTTATAAAAGCATTAGAATGTCCATTTTTTTATAAAAAAAAATTTCTGTCTTTAATGAGTGGCCCTCTTGATATTATTTTTATAATAGGTCTTTATAAGTATTGTTCAATTTAGGTTTACATACTAATGTTGCGCTAAATTCGTTTTATTATCTTAGTTGCAAAATATTTGTTCAGAGTCGATTCCAAAATTTGGGTTAATACTTTTACTAACAATATAAAAATTAACAGTTTACAACATAATTGCATAGATTTGATAGAATTGAAATATTATCTGTAAAATTATTAAGAAATCATTAATTACATATTAATTTAGGCTGTAAAAGAAGCTTTCTAGTTTCGATGTACTGTGCTTCCCCGTACTGAATGCATGATAATCATAGATTATACTTCTAAAAAGAAATATAAACTGTACTGAGCTACATTTGGATAGATTATGCATTCCAAAGAATGTATAGACACAGAACTTCTTCTGGATACAATAACGGCTCCAAATTTTTGTCCATGCGTGCCTCATCTGATGAATATTATTCTTATTTTAATTAAACAACACATGATTTCAGAAGCGGACATGTACTGTACTGTACTGCAAATACTATCCTTATTTTAATTAGACAATGGAAGGTTTCAGGAGGAGACGTGTACTGTTCTGCAATTAACTGTACTGCAATTACTATTTTTTGTTTTGATTTTCAATGGAAGGTTAAAGGGGGGGGAACATGTACAGTACTGCTACTATTATTGTTTGTTTTGGTTTGACAATGGAAGGTTCCAGGAGGGTAGCTAATCCATTGTTGACATAAGAGGAGGTTGATAGTTGCAAGGTAGAAAGGTTTCTGTACTGTACTGCACAGTACTGCAAATATTATTGTTTGTTTTGGTTTGACAATGGAAGGTCCCAGTAGGGGACACGTACTGTACTGTAGTGTACTGCAACTATTATTGTTTGTTTTGGTATGACAATGGAAGGTTCCAGGAAGGGACATGAACTGTACTGTAATGTACTGTACTACAAATATTATTGTTTGTTTTGAGTTGACAATGGAAGGTTCCAGGAGGGGACATATACTGTACTGTACTGTACTGCAAATATTATTGTTTGTTTTGGTTTGACAATGAAAGGTTCCAGGAGGGGACATGTACTGTGCTGTACTGTACTGTACTGCAAATAATATTGTTAGTTTTGATTTAACAATGGAAGGTTCCAGGAAGAGACATGTACTGTGCTGTACTGTACTGTACTGTACTGTACTGTACTGCAAATATTATTGTTTGTTTTGATTTGACAATGGAGGTTCCAGGAGGGGACATATACTGTGCTGTACTGTACTGTACTGTACTGTACTGCAAATATTATTGTTTGTTTTGATTTGACAATGGAAGGTTCCAGGAGGGTAGCTGCTGCATTGTTGACATAAGAGGAGGTTGATAGTTGCGAGGCAGAAGGGTTTCCAGCTCGTTAGATAGCTTATTATCAACCTATAAACAAATAGTCAAGGATTAATCAGATATAGGGTTACCAATGAGGATGAGACTACAGACTACAGAGAGGACAGTAATGAATTTATTTAGTCCCTCTTCTTACATTAAGGGTTCCTGTCAGACCCAAACTGGCTTATTACTGTGCTTAATCATTTAGTAAAACATCAAATTACCAAATTGAAGACAGAAACAAAAAATAAAACATCAAATCGTCATAATTTAAATGTTTTTGGTTCGTCTTTACAGTCTCATCCTTTGTAGGTAACCCTGTAAGTTGTTGACAGATGGTTTTTTCATATTTTAAATAAAAATGCATACAAAATTAGTTGAAACAATAATTTCGATAAAAAAAACTTTCGGTATTATCACATCTTTCTTATTAACGTAGCTTGCAGCACATAAAACTTTGACTTTAGGTTGAATAATATTTAATCATAGTATTTATAATGAGAACAATATTAACTAACCCTGACCTGATTCAGACCAAGATGCCGAGATTGATTCTGTTGATGAGATATCCGTCCTAGTCCATGTCTCTCCAGTTCTTGGTCGATCCTCTCCAACCCTTGTCCTCGTGGGTCAGGATGTCTGTTTATCTCCAGGGTATGTCGGAGTTCCTGTCTTGGAGGTAGGACATCCAACCTATTCGACCCAAGCATTTCCTGCCGTATAGATCCTAGCAGTTCTTGTCTGCTAGATCCAAGAATTTCCTGCCTGCCAGATTCCAGCATTTCATGTCTACTTGGTCCCAACAAATCATGCCTGGTTGAGCCGAGAATATCATGACGAAGTGATGAAACATCGTCCCGACAGGATCCCAGCATTTCCTGCCTTGATCTATGTATTTCCTGTCTACCAAGTCCAAGCATATCTTGCCTGCTGCTCACCAAAGGTTCCTGTCTCGGAAGCCCAAAGCCATCCTGTCCCCTAAGCCCCAGATTGTCATGTACCCCCCTTAGACCCAAATCTTGTCCCCTTAGCCCCAGATTGTCTTGTCCTCTTAACCCTAGATTGTCATGTCCTCTTAGCCCTAGATTATCCTGTCCCCTGAGTCCCAAGTTGTCCTGTCTATGGTGTCCCATGTTGTCCTGTCTAGATTGTCCCATGAGCTCCTGATCTAAATGGTTTGCAAGAGCCTGCTCTTCTTTACACAGAATCATTGGATCGTTGAGAACTTCTTGCTTCAGAGGATCTACAACAGAACACATTGATATTTTAACCATTTTACTTCTTCATAACTTTTGGACAAATGTTTATTATAAACTCAATTTTACAAAAAAGGAACCAATTTCTTCAGATTTGGTTTGTCAATTTTCGTCCAAATCTTAGAGAATAAAAACAAACGGTTACTTTGTTGTACATTCAAAGACCAACAACATTTCTGATTTTAAATATTAAGAATCTTACTTAATGGTAGATTGAAAGACTAAAATTTAGCTTTTTTGTAGATTGAAAGCCTAAAAACCCTTTAATGGTAGACTGAGGGACTACTTGAACATACTTAATTTAAGGTTAAAAGACTTAAAACTTACTTTTAAATGGTAGATTGAAAGACTATAAACTTACTTGATGATAGATTGAACGACTATAAACTTACTTGATGGTAGATTGAAAGACTATAAACTTACTTTGTGGTAGATTGAAAGAATATAAACTTACTTGATGATAGATTGAAAGACTATAAACTTACTTTGTGGTAGATTGAAAGACTGTAAACTTACTTAATGGTAGATTGAAAGCCTATAAACTTACTTGATAATAGATTGAAAGACTATAACTTACTTTATGGTAGACTGAAAGACTATAAACTTACTTAATGGTAGATTGAAAGACTATAAACTTAATTAATGGTAGATTGAAAGACTATAAACTTACTTGATGATAGATTGAAAGACTATAAACTTAATTTGTGGTAGATTGAAAGACTATTAACTTACTTGATGATAGATTGAAAGATTATAAAGTTAATTTATGGTAGATTGAAAGAGTATAAACTTACTTAATAGAAGATTGAAATACTATAAACTTACTTTATGGTAGATTAAAAGACTATAAACTTATTTTTAAATAAGATTTAGAGACTACAAACTTAGACTAAAAACTTACTTGATGGTAGATTGAAAGACTGTTTGCTTAGATATTGCGCTATCAGCTGTTCCTCGCTCATCTCCCTCTGCTGAAGCGTGTACACGTTCTCGTGGACAAGATGTTCTTGATCTTCTACCCCTCCTCCTCCTCCACCTCCACCTCCAGCTCCAGCTCCTCCTCCTCCTCCCACCACTCCTGCACCTGTATCTGAACCAGAAAATGTGTTATTCTCCTGAAGCAACCTAGCAACAATTAAATTATTCTCCAGGCCTTAATCTCCTGAAACGACGGGAAAGTGGAGAGGGGGGGAGTCTGAATTAAAACAGACCTATGCGTTTCCAGCCAAAAATATGAAGAAAAAAATTTTGATCAAAAATTATCAAATTAATTTATTGTTCAATCATTCAAGCATTCAATGTCTTTTAAAAGATGTTAGTTACTTTCCCAAAGAATTTTTCCCAAGTGGCAACTTCCCACAGGTATTTTCCCAAGTCAAGTGGCAACTTCCCAAATGTGCAATTTCCCAAGCGGCAACTTCCCAAGTCTATCCTAGCCGCAGCACTCGGCCTCCAGCCTGTTCTAGTCGCGGCGCTCGGCCCCATAGCCCATCCTAGCCGCAGTACTCGGCCCCCATTGCAGCATGCGGCGACTCAGAGGGCCTAAGTAACCTGAAGGGTATAAACGAAACTATCGCCAAAAATTGGAATAAAATCCTCTGGTTAAATTAATTTGAAAATATTTGCATTGCAAAGGGGGGGGCATAACACGTATTAATCTCCGGGAAATTTAAACAGTGTATAAACATAACTTAGCATTGTCCTAGGAGCCTGATTTTTTGCATGCGAGCTTAAAATTATGTATATTACATGCATTTTTTGGTTTTGAACGGTCACCCCCTCCCTAGAAAAATTCCTGAATACGCCCATGATTCCTCTCTTTAAATGTAGGGTCATTTGAAGGTACTTTTACAGTCCCTTAAATGTTTGTGTACTGTACTTACTTATGTACAACCCTGATATGCTGGTTTAGGTTTGCTAGATGTTTGCCGCAGATAGGACAGGCTGGCTTCTGTCCTAGATGTACACTGTCTCGGTGTCTCGCCAGGTCATAGTTACTTTTAAACTTCTTATCACAGCTTACACACGGAAAATTCCGATTATCTGAACAATAACATTTTTAATTTAATCGGAGATCATTTCTATTTCCCCCTAACCCCCTTAATTCCCCCACCTCAAAGTGTCCCTGTAAAAATGCGAAGACATTTTTTTTCAAGAAAACCGATGTTTCTCGAAAAATAATTTTTAGTCATCAAGAGACTATTTTTCAATCCTTTTGAACTAATAAAAATCTGTTTTTCCTTCATTTTGTTCCCTGATTCATGTACTTCTTAACTACCTGCATGTACAGCATTCATATGCCCTGCAAGGGTTGTAACAGTTGCCGCACATAGTGGACACACCCTCTTAATCTTGAGATGGACCGCCTCCATGTGCTTCTTCAAGCTCTGGGTGTCATGGTAGGTTTTGTTGCAGGTTTGACATGAAATTTTTTCACCCTAAAATATTAATATTTTGTAGAAAACTTTGGAAGGAAATAAGCGGTTAAAAACGAGTATTTTAAAAAAAGGGATAGCCCCTGTTCAATCACTTTTCATTTTACGCGAACATTCACCATAGTTTTTTCGGGTTTATTTTTTTCAAAAAACACCCACCACCCCGACGGGGGGGGGGGGATAATTAATAATGCTCTGTGGAGATTAAAAAAAAGCTTTAGCAAAAGACAATTTTCAATTCGTTGACTAAAAGATATTACAATCTTGCTAACAGTGCTTTTAAAATTATTTTCGTTTTTCGTTGACAAATTTTGGACCAACCAATCATAACAACCTACCTTGGTTAGGCGGGTCAAAGCTAAATTGCAAATTGTTGTTGCTTGTTTGTAAGATAACATGCTTTGTAGTTTAATAAAACTCTATATAAAGAGTAAGATCAATGAAAGACCTGATGAACAATCTTTCTGTGTTTATTCATCACCCTCCATTGAGAGAACGTTTTCTTGCAATCAGGACATGTCGGGGATAGTCTAAAATATCATAATTAGGACGGTGGGCCCCATACAACTCTGGAAAAGGAAGACGACATTTATGCAATCTTCTAATTCGCATAAATGTTTTTATGCAAATAGTTTTTCCATTATCTAGATATTAGCAAATGAAATTGGTCTGTTTAGTGTGTACACTACGAAATTACTGTGTTTGATGGTAACTATTTGAAATCATAACTAAGTCTTCTATCTATTATAGTTTTTTGGGTTTCAGTCTCCGGTTTCAGTGTGTATTATTGAGTAGTTGGGTCTATTTGAGAACATTAAATATATTTTTACTTTAGAAAAGGTTCTCAACTCTAAATTCTGAAAGTTAAAACCGATCCGACTTCAAAAAAGAAAACTTCTGAAAAATTCTTTCAAATATTATTTTTCTTAATAAATGATAGGTCAGGACTGGATACTATTTCAAACAATGAAATATCAAAGAGGTTGTTTAATTATCTAAAAAAGAGCATTTGGATTAGAAACACATCAATTTTGCTTAAAAATTTTTAATTTCTTTTTCAATTTTTTAAGTCATTCTCGCCACTAACATACATTTTTTGTCTAAATAATAATTTTTGACAGGAACCCGAGTTTTCTAGTAAATATCATGATTTTCATCAATATTTTACGTTCATTTTAAAATAAAATCATGGACAAGAATTTTAGAAAATTTATTAAATTTTTAACAGTTCGATGTTATGAAAATATTTATAAATTTCGCAAAATTCCTGTCGTTAATTAGCTTAGATGTATCAAACATTAGAAAATTATGCGTGCTTTTGACAAATGTTAAAATATATGTACTTTTGAAAAAAGCAAATATTCCCGTTAATGAACCAACCTGCACACAGAAGCATGATCAGTGTTCACGGAATAGGTTTCATCACATTGTCTGTAAATAATAGAAAACCGTTCTTAAATAAATTATTCAAATTAATCAAAATATCAAAATGTAATAATTTTCAGTGCTCTCCTATTTGATGGTGTATTTTTCTACCTACGCAAACCCGCTATACTCCACTTCTGACCTACGCCAAATCCGCTATACTACACATCCGACCTACTAGCACGTGGTTTTACCGTTACTATATGGACTTGTGGCCGCAGCGTCCGGCCCCCTAGCCTGTCCTAGCCGCGGTGCTCGGCCCCCTAGCCTGTCCTAGCCGCAGCGCTCGGCCCAGAAACTGTCTTAACCTAACCTAACCCTCAAATAATACAAAAATAAACAGCTGGTGTAGTTCAGATATTGCAGTAGGTCGGAAAGTTAGTAGGTCAGAAGTTCAGTAAGGGGGATGTTGCGTATAGACGATGTAACATTACCCTTTTTGGCGTCAAAAAGAAGGGATTAACCCATAAATATATAACCCNGACCCCCGGTCTCGATGCAATTTTTCTAGAACATGCTTTTAAGTCAAATGATTTCTACTTATTTTTTCTTTTTAAAATATTTTTGCTTTTAAACTATGCTTTTCCACCACTATTTTTAAATAAACAAAATATACTTCATTTAAATAAAATATTTGAAGCTAAAAATTAAACATATCACATATTCAAAACATTTTGAGGTTCAAATGAACAGACGCGGTAAGCTTTAGCTTCACATTTAAAACGTCCTAATAGTTTACTTTTTTCATTAAATGCTTATTTGTGCTATTCTGCGTTAATATATGCTGATTTCTAGTATAAATGATTCTGCCCTCCGGTTTCAGTGTTTGCTAATTTTGCCAAAACTGCAGATGATAATGCTTTTTGGCAGCCATGTTAAATGATAATAAATAATTATTAAATAGTCGGGGGTAATTTAACGGTTTATTTCCCTGCACTGAGCAATGCCCGAGGTATAGTTGACTGGATCTGTTGTGTGCTTAGTCCTAAAATAAAGAAGTTAAGGGGTTGTTCAAATTTTTCAAAGTAGAGTTGTGGTGCAAAATTATTAATTGATGGAACAAATATTGTCCGTATTATTGTACTCCAAAGTACAAACATCATAAAAAGATAAATATTCAATTTTGAATATGTTTGCGTGAAGATCAGTTTGAAATTAAATTGAATTAATTATATTTTAACTACGATATAACTAATCTGGGATTTCTCTGGTTTGTTAAAAAAATTCCTTTAAAAATGTACAATATGTAACAAGATTCAATTCAACGGCAATATTTGCAGCGCTATGATGTAATCTAAGATGCTTTACTTCATCCACATATCTAGCTCTTGGTACATATATATATATATATGTTACCTATAGCTGGCCAAACGGCTGGGAAAAATTGGCTGAATTTTTTAAGGGGACCCATGGGTACCCTGTGGGGTAAAATAGGCAAAAAAATCGATATTTTTTTTAATTTCGAGAAGAAAAATTTTGTTTCTGAAATTCCACGGGCACTTAGGCTAGTATGATATGCAACAAAATAAGTTTAATATTGATTAATGATAATGAGGGGGATATGGTAGTAGCAGTCTATTATTATTATTATATATTTGTAAGAAGAGGGAGGGGGGGGGGAGGTTAAAATTATAAATTGGACATTAACAATCAAAGAAAAATGTAATTACTTTCTATTATCCAATGAATTAATACCTTTAAAATCCAGATTTGTAGCCTAAAAAAGTGAACTTGAACTAGATCGCTGAACTACCTACAGTCGATTCAAATACTTATCTGTGGTTCAACAGTGTAGATTTCATCTACAAGACAATGACAAATCCTGAATTATTGATCCCATGTCCTATAGATGATAACTACAGATTTGTATGTGTACTGTAGATAGTTAAGTGATCTGGTTCAACTTAATCAAATTCAGTCTCTGGAATAATAATAATAAAAAATTAAACCTGATATGAAGTGCAAGGTTCAGAACCATTCTGCCGCAGGTTGGACAAGGTTTCCTAGCTCTCTTCCCAGATCTTTAACATTTCTAATTTGAAACTTCTTCTTAAAAAAAAGAACTAAATTTCGGATTCCTCAACATTTTTTTTAACAAAATCCAATAAACTCTTTCCGAGTTCTTGAATTTTAAATTTTAAATGTAACTTTAAAAGTGATATTATAAAACTTTTAAGGGACTGACAACCACATAATTTTAAGAGACCCACACATTCTACATATTGGTGGGAATGTCAGATTCACAATGTTGCCCGCTAACCATCAAAGGGAGTGTTCGCAAAAAATGAAATGGGATATAGGCTTACGTCGAAATATTTTCGATGGTGATCGCTAATTTTACTTTTTTAATTTATATTGCGCATACAACTTTTTATTCACGGGTGGCTCTGGATTTTCGAACATTCCTGGAAAATATGAAAATATCGTCTTCATTATCAAAAACAGGATTAAACGTTTTCAAAAGTAACTCTCAGATCATAAAAAATAAAAATGTTTTGAAATTTCAACAATAAACGAATTCGTCGAAAAAAATCGATGATTATAGGTTGTAATATCTGAATGATTTGTTTGGACTTAAATTAATTTTTTTGCGATCCAAGTCAAATATTGCAACTTTCTGAATTTGTATGGACGCTATGTTCTTCGGTAAGAGTCGTTTTTAACAATTTTCTCATTATTGACGCTACAGATATAAGATTAGTAGCAATCCGTCGAATATCTTTCAACGTATACCAATTCCCCCTTTCAAGTTTCGCGAACATTCCCTTTAAATGATCATGGATAACTGAGATTTTATAGTTTAGCATAAAATAATTTAATTATTTTTAATTGCTGCAGGAAAGGAAGGAAATTATCGTCGTTCGACACATTTTCAATACAAAAAAAACGAAGATATCTTCCGCAATGTTACTCAAATCAAAATTTAGAAAGTATTCTTGTGAATCGGATACAGGATCCGGATTAAAAGCACGGCTTGAAGGTACTGTTAAGGAAAAATTAAAGGGGGTATGGATGAAACCTGAGAATCTCAGGCGTTGAGCAATGCACATAAATTAATATAAATAAATATAAATATAAAATAATATAAAATTAATATAAAACTGTGTCAAATTTATACGAAAATTCATATATTTGCAATTTTGTATAAAAGTTGTAGATTTAAGCAGATCATAATAAAACAAATACGCAACCAATCTGAAAACGAAGATATCCCAAAGGAGCCTGAGAATCTCAGGTTTGCTCCCATAATAATTTTTTTTGCATTTTTGATATTTATTATTGATAATATAATTACATATAGTCCGTATTACGTCACCAGACTTCCGCCAATGGCAGTGCAGTATACTGGTCACGCGATTTACGTCTGTATCACGTGACAACGATACTACAATGCCAATGGCTGAAGGTCTGGTGACGTAATACGGACTATATGTAATTATATTATCAATTATATCTATTAAAAATGCAAAATTAAAAAATTATAATAAGAGAAAACCGAGATTCTCAGGCCCCTGTGGGATGCCGTCGTTTTCAGATTGGTTGCGTATTTGTTGTATATGATCTTCTTAAATCTATAACTTTTATACAAAAATGCATATATGTAAATTTTCGTATAAAGACTCAGTTTTATATCAATATCAGGAGACAGGAACATCAGATAGATGTTTTATATGTACCGTTCAACGCCTGAGATTCTCAGGTTTCATCATATACCCCCTTTCATTTTTCCTTTACAGTCCATCTAAATGGTGGCAAAGAAAAATATAAAATTTGCAGATTTCGTTTAAGTTTTTTGATAACTATTACAGCAAGCATATATTTAAAAACCTGATTGGCAGGGTTGGATGTATACGGTTCTGATGATTAGCAAGATCAGCTCTAAAAAATTATCGTTAAATATAAATAAGCATTTTTTGGCATTTTAAATATTGATATCGAATTAACTTATTTGAGTTCGGAGTAAGATATATAGCAATGAGATAAAAAACTATCCACCTACTTAACAATATTTAATTTGTTATATTTGTTTAGAGGGACCGTTCACTTATTTGGGTAATTTCATGGTAAACTAAAAAGTCTATTAGCTGTTGATTAGTATTAGTTCTACTATTCAAAAACAACTGTGGTCGGAGAAAAAAGCCGATTTTTCGTCCAGAATTCGAGCGCGAAGGTATGATACCTTTGCCTTAAAAACTTTTGCCTTATACGTTTTACAGTAACACAGACCAAGAAAATTTAAATTTATCATATTTCAATGCCATTATGTGTTAGCAATTTAATACTAAAATCATTATTTTCATTATTACCATAATTTTTATTACTATACATCATTTATGGAAAAGAAATTAAAAAAGGGAACAATTTCTACCTGCAATAGAAAACGTCATCACAATATCTACAGTGGCAGAGCTTGTTCTTCCTGCTCCTAATTAACAAATATATTAAAGGGACAGTGTATGGTTTTTAACTAAACCAACACAATTGAAACATCAAAATCAGAGACGTATTCAGGGGGGGCTATGTAGTGCTCAGCCCCCTCTCGGATATCGTCGTTTTCAGGTTGGTTGCGTATTTGCTGAATATGATTGTTTGAACCTACGATTTCTATAGAAAATTTTACATTTATAAATTTTCGTATAAATACACAGTTTTATATAAATTTCCCGAGACAGGAACTTCAGATAGAACTCTTATAAGTCTCGATCAACTCATAAAATGCTTAGGTTTCAGCCTATTCCTATTTTTGAGGTTTGGTCCATCGCCATCACCAAATTTTAAATAATTTTTCCTTATCAGTCCCTTTAAGAAGTTTAAGAAAATATCTTGTTTTTCACAATAAACATTTTATAATTTGTCCTCACGTAACTTTAAACTTTATCTAAAAAGTTCTAGGTAACTTTTTCAAAAAAGTTCTAGGTAACTTTATACAGAAAGTTCTAGGTAACTTTATCTAGAAAGTTCTAGGTAACTTTTTTTTTAACTCGCTAAAGTGCCCGGGCTGCGCACTTCGTAGGCTCTTGTCATTATTTTTGCATAACTTTCTACTTTAATAAAGTAAAAGTATTTTTGAGAAGGGGCAGGGGAGCTTTTAACGGAAATATTTAAATGTTTCCATACGTTTGAGAATTTGAACAGAGAATCTTTGAGAAGGGTTATTTAGATTTCTATTTTTTCAAAAGTGGGTTCAATCTATTTAATAAAACCATTAAATATTTAATTCAGGGGATGAAAGTTCCAAACCTGACGCTGGATTTATGATTTGTTATAGTAAAAAAATGCAATTTTTATAGTAAAAAGTTTAACCCTTCCAGAAGCCTATATTTTATTCTTAGTTACCTTTCATTTGCTTTAGTATACGCTTCTCTATGCAGGGTACTACCCTCCCTGCAGGCACGGACAATCAGACGGATCTAAATTAAAAGTACATTTTAAAGGGACTTTTCACGTTATTTCATGTGACCTTTAATTTATAAAGTGTAATGTTTATTTTACTAAGGTGCCTTTAAATGCCTTAGTTTAAACTAAAAAACGATCGAATTGCTTTTAGAAAAAAATATCGTTTTTAAAAATGATCCATTTGTTTGAACTTACAAAAAACGAAAAACTATCTTTTTTGAAAACGATCGTTTTTTTAATGTTTGGTAATAAATCTGAGTTTTCTGACAATTAATTTTCAATTTTTTTTTCAGGAATAACCTGAATGTTTTCTGGCCTCGAATTTTCCGACATAAAAATGTATTTTCTCTTTAAAAGGTCGTTAACGAAGGGTCGTCGTTAACAAAAACGATCGTTTTAAAAGATGACCGTTTTTAAATTTCGAAACATGATCGTTTTTTTAAACTATCGTTTTTTTAAACTATCTTTTTTTAAACTATCGTTTTTTTAAAACGACTTTCGTTTTTTTTAAACGATTTTCGTTTTCGTTTTTCTTTGCCGTTTCAAAACGGAACGATCGTTTTTCAAAAAGTGGAAACGAGTCAACCCTGTCTTTACCTGCAATAACTAATACTAATACTATTACTAATACTATTACTAATACCTGATGTTGAGTAGAGTGGAGTAAATTTTCTAAAGAATGCTCGTCTATAAGAGCTGCGTCTAGTTTAACGAATACTCCAACTATACCCCCTAGCTCGACATACTCCAGGTTAATCTCTGATCCATAATCCATCCTGCATCTGGAACTTACAACACACAGATTAAATACAAAGGGGTGCATATCCCAAATTCTCTTCCTTGGCTGATTTAAAAAGAAAATACTATTGGTTCTCCCTTCTTTTGTGTCAAATTGAACCCACATTAATGTTTGATGACTGACATACATTGACATACATTTACATTTACACCCCTTAACATGAATTGTACATTTTTAAAATTACATAAGTTAGAAAAGAACTTACTAGAGTCACCAACTCACCATACATAAAAAAGGGATTAAAGATTTAAAATCATAAAATAGAAGATATAATCAAAGTTAAAATTCATAATTGCCAAGGTAACTAATAATTTAATGAGGCTAAATAACATTGTTTTGTATTGATATACAATATACATAGCAGATTAGTAGAACATTTGTATGTTCAGTAGAACAGTAATTTGACATTTTTTATGACAAATTTACTTTTCATTTATAATTAAATATTTCATTTTTAAATTTGGCTTTGAGAAAAAATTTAATTTTATTCTTCACAAAATTTTCAATTCTTTGGAATTTGGGCTTTAATTCAGACTACAAATATACGTAATTATATAACTACATCTAATACAATTTACAAGGAAGATTTCAGGGATTTAACTGATCTTCCTTCAATGAGGGTAGGAAGGCAAACCACATAGAACCTGCGCACGAGCCGCATTCCCCGAAAGTTCTTGTCAAAAGCAATCAAAATTAAACTAATCGTGAAATAAAATGGCCAAGATGTAAAAATTGTTTAAAAAATTTTATTTAAATCATTAAAACATTAAATCATTAATGATGTACAGCATACAGCAGGTTTACAGAAAATCAGGTTTCCACGATTTTTGCGACATGCCTTCCCTCCCTCCCCCAACCTTCTCTGAACAGTGGCAAGGTAAAATTTAGTTTTGGAAAAATATCATGCACGCCATATACTAAACATACATTACATTTATTTTTCAGATTATATTTTAAATCTGATAAAAATTTTCATCCAGATTCTGATTCAATTTTTATGGAATTCGGACACATTTTAGGTTCAAAAACTTTGCGTCTCATACTTTTTTGATCTTCAGTTTTAAAGTCCTTTAGGTGAAGTTGAATTGAAAACTCTAGACAATGAAATAAAACTACAATAAGTGAAATATGTAAAATAATGAAGACAAAATTCCAAATATTTAATTAAAAATAATAAAAGGTTTTAAACACTGTTATGAATGATTTTGTGTTAAAACAAAATGAATATATAAGTGACAACTTGTGACGATAAACTTTATTTTTATTTCCAGGGTTGTGTGCAGGATGTGCAGAGAATAAAACCTAATTTGAAAACAAAGCAATGGATCTGATGATATGGAAATACTTCGTAAATGCAGAGAACATTCTCTTTTTACTCCAGGAAATCCACATCGTTCGTTCCAACTCGATTTCCTCCAACTTTTATCGAAGTTTCCTAAACAATTATCGGCTAGAATATTCTTTAGTCTTTGGAGGATGTCATCATCCATATTTAATACCAACTGACGTGCCCGCCGTTGCCCGTGGAATTTTAAACACACTTTCTCTAAATCGAAATAAAAGTCAAATTTTGAGGGAAAAATCAGTCAAATCTGGATCCAGATCAGGATCTGCACCTGGATCCAAATCAGGATATTTTATATATATATATATCTTTATCTCGATATTCCATGTGGGCACTATAGAATAAATGCTTGATCTCTACATTAAAGTTTTCCCCGCAAGGAGTGACCATTATGGGATGCCAAAGAGAAATTATATCGATCCGTCGTAGGTCGGCATAAGACTGAAAAGTACCTGTGCAGGATTGTCTCTGCCCGGCCTCGGAACCTCCGTGATAAGATCCTCCTTGATCAACCTCTTCCTCTCTTTGGCCATGCTAACCCTGATGTTCTCCTGCTGGTGGTACTTACACAGCTTCACCACAGAGAACACTAGCAGTCCCATCCTAATAATTAATCGTTACAAATCAAAATTATTTCTGCACTACACAACACACAATTAGCCGAAGCATGATTAAAGGATGGACGAGGAATGGACGATCTAGAAGAAAGAATGAAAAACAACAAATATAGAAGTCTCAAAATTTAAAAATATTGTAAAATTTAATTGAAATAAATTATTACATTGCACACAAGCACAATTGTTACTTTATAGTTATTTCTTCAAAAATAAATTTACTTTACATCTTACATCTTCCCACCCCCCACCCCTTCCCCCGTTATTTATAAATTATAAAATTTAAGTGTATTTATTGTGATTTTAACCGAAATATATATATTTATCGCAACTCTGTCTAATCATAAACATGTTAAAACTGACCATGTAGTCCAGGATAGCCAGACCCCAAACTGTGCAGCGAAGAGCTGCATGTAGAACCCCTGGGGGTCAATAGCGTCGGCCTTAGCAATATCGTTCTCAGTAGCATCAGCGCAGCTTTCAAACCTAAACAATCAATAAATCAGTCAACTCAAAACCAATCAATTAATCAAACAACAAAATATTCGAAATAACAATCAATTAATCAAATCAAATCAAATCAAATCAAATCAAATCAAATCAAATCAAATCAAATCAAATCAAATCAAATCAAATCTTTTATTAGGCCACAAATTATACAATGTACATACATATAAATGCTAATTGAAAATAACAGACAATTAAGAGTATATTGTGGCCGGGGAGCTACAAGATAGCTCAGGCTGTTTACACATGAGCTCCCCTGGTTCAGCATAATATAGATAAGATTTAAACAATTTTCTATGTGCATGAATGGAGCACATAAATGGCGGAGTGTAGCAGCGGTGGCGGTTGGAGAGCAGGAGGCGGAGAAATGGCATCAAACTATCAGTCAGGAATAAAAAAAGTTAAAAAAGTTAAGGGCTCAATAATGTTTTAGTCGGTTCTTGATCAAGAAACATTTTTAATACATGTTATTTCGATCAGGATGAAAGATCAAAATAAGCTCAATATTTCTTTTGACAAAATACACATATATGATAATTCAATATATGTATTGAATAAGCACGAATAAATATGAACAGATCATATTTCAGACCATGAAAACCCCAACCTAATCTAAGTAATTAAAGTTGAACAAGTATAGCAAAATAGCCGGTTGCATTCAAAGTCCAATAATCTATCCAGAAAAAGTTGCTTAACAAATAATCAAACCGCAAATCAATAAATCTAACAACCAATCAAGAAATCAACCAATCAATCCATCAACAAAATAATCGAAATAATAATCAATTAATCAAACAAACCGTCAAACCGCAAATCAATAAATCTAGAAATCAACCAACAATCAATCAAACAACAAATCTATTTAACAATATCTTAATCAAACAATCAATCAATCCGGAAAGCTAAAAATCTAACAAACAATCTATCAAGCAACCAACCAACCAGGGTGATGTAATAATTGAGTAAGTCTTCGGGTCCATGAGAAAGTTGTAACTATGGAATCATGAATCCATGGCTACAACAAAAATCAATCAATCATTCACACAATCAACCCCAATATATACCACTGGCCAGCAACTAATCAAACCTATTAAATATTTCACCTTCTTGTCATTTCTCCACACCAGGTGTTGAATCCCAGGGTGATGAAGAGAGCAGCTGTTAGGGTCATCCTGATAACATACACTCAAATTATACTCGCACAAATATAAGTAAAAAAGTGCGGCATTTAAATCTTGTGAGGTTGCTCTTTCATGGAGGGGCGGGGGTCCACTCCACAGTACAGTTAGCAGAAAATTTCCGGTTAAGGATACTTTTAACATTTAAATGAATGAATTTTTACCTTGAACTTAATCCCTTTTTCTAAAAAAAAAGTCTGAAAGAAGAATACAAACCCGGACATGAAGAGACTGGTGATGACATCTATGAACGCCGTGAGGAAGCTGCTGTCTCTGCCCTTGCACAGAAACTTAGACAGTCTGTAACAAGAAGACATTTAGAGGTAGTAGGGTATGGATACTGGAGTTCTTCATATACAGGGTTATCAACAAATATGAGACTTCAGAGACAACTGTACAGACTTTATACTGACTGTTTCCTTATAATCATGTAAAGGGTTATCAACAAAAGATGAGACTTCAGAGACACCTATACAGACATTATACTGACTGTTTCTTTATAATCACGGTTCTCTGAATTGTTAACCTGTTCATTTCTTTGCAAAGCTATTTAAATACTAATTTAGCCCAGGGATTGTCATATTAATTGGGTTTCCGGTTCTCTTTATATTCTCATCCTTAGAGGGTAACCCTTAGGCCGTTATTGTACATTTTAATAGAAAGAAATAAAAAATCAAATTAAGAAACTAAAATAAATATAAACAGACAAACCTAAAAAATGCAGATTAAAAAAATACTGAGACTTAAGATTTTGACAAGGATTGAGATTAATAGACTCTGAAGTAAAGAAGAAGGTAAAATAAAAATAATATAAAAAGTATCGAAAGAGTAATAAATGAAGGAAAAATGAAAGAACAGCTAGATAACAACGGTTGAAGGAAAATGTAAAATACTAGCCTATCTTCTAAATTAATTGTGAACATGTTCTCTTTGTGTACATCGTAAAACAAAACAAAAATAATTCGCGGATTTTCACAAAAAAAATTCGTGGATTTTCAAAATTTTTAAAAACTTAATGACGATCGAATTTTGATGGAGACAAATATTTAAAATTTCAATCATTCATAAACCTTTCCTGGGGTCCCTAGATGTCCCACAAAAAATTTGGGCCCGATCGGTTCAGCCGTTTTGACGTTTATTGGATACAAACAGACAGACTGACAAACAGACAGACCAGCCAAATTTATATATAGATTACGGAGAGAAACAAGAACTGACAAAGGAAAGATAAAAGGATAAAGGAGAGGAAAAGCAGTAAAGAGAATCAACAATTAAAAAGGAAATTTTATCAGATAAAGAAGATAATTCATGAAGGGATAAAAGAACTAATAAAGAAAAAGTGGGAAACCAAAAAAATCTATAAAATGAAATATATAGGGAAGGAAAAAAGAACTGATAAAAGGGAAAAATTGATAGAAATGAAAAACAACTGATCAAAATGTTTAACTAATCATAATGGAAAAAAGAATTGATTAAAGAATAAAAAGAACTGAGCTGAAAACTTTAGAATGGTGGATATCGAGATTAACACTTAATCCTCTCTTTTTCTTAATATCAAGACTAACCTAGTCTTATACTTGTATCCTGAAAAGTCGAAATTCAACCAATCAAAGTCGCGTATGTGAAGCTGATAAATTTGAAATTTTGCACGCCATTTAAGATTAATATACAGAAACGGGAGGAACTCTCTAATTTAAAAATCGGATTTTAATTTTTCTCTACTATATCCAAGAAAGAATGGTTTAAGAAGAAAATCAAAAGTGTGTCCATTGAATACTCAGATTAAGTAATCGGGATTTAGGATATCTCATTCTAAATTTTTCAGCTCTGATCAAAAGGAAAAAAAAAACTAAAAAAGGGTAAAAAGAACTGATAAAGGGGTAAAAAGAACTGATAAAACGGTAAAAAAGAACTGATAAAAGTAAAAAAAAGAACTGATAAAAGGGGAAAAAGAACTGATCAAAAGAAAAAAACTAATCAAAAGAAACAAAAGAACTGATAAAAGGGTAAAAAGAACTGAAAAAGGAAAAAACCTGTAAATCTGTGTAGCCGAGATAACCAGCATAACAACTCCCACGAAGATGGTGTAGTTACAATACCTAGACATATTGAGTTGAAATAAATAATTTACATTTTGGTAAGTGTATACATTTTGGCAAATATTTCCCCCGGCCTCAACAATAAAAACTATTTATTTCCCCAAATCTTAGGGATGTATTCTTTAAGATTTTTTAAACAGTTAAAAAAGAATCAAAAGAGGGAAATGCGCCATTTAAAATATAAATATAGTGAACCCACAGTTGCCCAGATTGTTCATGGTTTGTCCCACCGTTTACCCGGGCGCTTTATCGTGAATTGCGAGTTAAGCTATTTTTCCCGATAAAATTCAACCAACTCAACTTAAATCTCAAACCCAAACTAAGAACATTCCCGTGGTCCTATTGAGTTCTCCAATAAAAATTTTAGGGACTTCGGTCAAGGGGCTCCTGAGTTATGATCGGGACAAACAAACGAACAGACAGACAGAGATTACAACTTTATATAAATAGAGTAGATACCCCAGGCCCAAAGAATACTTTTTTTTAACTTACGCTTGGCTGGCCCAGTCGACGATAAACTGACCGTCAGTTTCCCTCCACTCACCAGTAGAGAACAACAAGCAGTGACCCTGCAGATATGTAACATATTTTAAAGTCTGCTCACAAATTGAAGATTTTAACAATTAAAACTTATCTTCAGTGTCCCGAATTGTTTACAATTGAACCCCTGGCATGGTACCAAAAGCAGTACTTACATGTCCAATCCCATCTTTTTGGATCAAGCTCATTTAGGTGTTCATCTTTTTAGATACACTTATGCTGAACCAGAACCATTAGGAGAACATGGAGTCTTACCGATCTTTGGGTAAACATTGGTGGTTTATTTAGAACAAAACACGTTTAATGTGTATTGTTGCTAATAATATCAGCACTTAGACCCAGATTCGGGGAGCCAAAACATACCGGATCCGGATCACAAACACTGACCAAGAGTTAACGATTATCTTTCGAGAAAACAGAACTTTTGTGTTTAGAATCTCGAGATCAAGCATTTATCTCCATATTATGCAGATTTGTTGTATATACTAACGGATCAAGCATCTATCTTAATAATATGCAGATCGACGGATTAATGCAATTCCTTTTCGATATCCCTTGTTGGTCATACCTTAACGGAACAACTTTAATTAAGAGATCAAGCATTGATCCTCAATTCTAAAAGTGCTAACATTGGATAACGAGATTGACAATATCCAAAAGTTTCGATCTCTGAATAAAGTGATTAACGTTGAATTAATCCATTAAAATTTGTATTTAGTATAACCTTGAAATTCTCCTGGTGCATGGACATCGGGATAGTGATGAGCAGAGAGAGAAGGGCTGCTATACAATACCCAGCCAACTAAATTCAATATTGATAATTTCCTGAACTAGATAACGATTTTTGGACTGCGGCTAGGACAGGCTAGGGGGCCGAGCGCCGATAAGACAGGCTAGGGGCCGAGGGTCCCTAAATAACAAAAAAATAAATAATAATAAATTTGCTGAAAAATAAATGGTCATGTACAAAATTGATAGGAGGGGGGGGGGGCCAAAAATCGTATACTAGGACAGACCCAAGTACCCAGTTCAAACTGCAGTTTTACGTATTTATTTATTCTAAATTGCATTATTAAAATTATTTATTACTAAACCAAAGGATTTATTGAAAATATAGAAGTATGAAAAATATATGAAAATTAAACCAGTTTACTGACCTGTATATACAGAATAACGTTTGTTCCTGTAGTTGACGGCATGTTGCTCAAAGAATTTAAATCTTTGTCCAATGCAGTAAAATGTCGTAATAGTTTGCACCTAGAGGTGCCAAACTACATTTTACCTCTAAAACAAGATATTTCATGTAAATTCACATAATATTTAGAATCAATCTGGAACTAAATATTCTTAATACAATTGCAAAAAGGCCTTTTTAAGATGTAAAACTTAAATCCTCATCAATCCGTATGTTCAGTTCTTTCTTTGACTATGATTTTTCTCTCTCAAGTCTCAATCAGGACTTTGCGCAATATTGGAGAAATGCCGCGGTGATGCACTAGTCACGGTTTTGTCTTTATGCGGTCAAAACTAAGGGCGTCGTTCCTAACTTGGCGGAGGGGGGGATAGATAAAACTCCTATGAATGCGCGATACCGGATAATATTTCTTTAATTCTCTCTCTCTATGA